GAGAGAGAGAGAGAGAGGTGAAAAAAAGATTTTAGAGGTTTTGATTGGATTAACTTGGAGACAGGTGTGCAGATTGAATCGACAAAGCCGGACAATTTTACCCCTCGCATAGTTGAGAAGAAAGATGATTATGTACGTGTGGAATATGAGAGTCCTATAATGGGGGTATGTAATGTTTCCTGACATTTTTGTTTTCCCCTAACACTTCCTATTTTTGAAAGTTTATCCCCAGCCAGCAGTTATTCCATAAACTATTTTTTCTCTATCCATTTCTTTTTATTTCTCTTACTATTTATGTAGTTTGTGGATGATGTGGAATTCTGGTTTCCTCCTGGTAAGAAGTCAATTGTGGAGTATCGATCTGCTTCTCGCCTAGGAAATTTTGATTTTGGCATCAATCGCAAGAGAATCAAGGTTGGACTTCAGTTAATTCTTTTTTCTGCTATTTACGTTTTTTCAATGCTTTTAATTAGGAACTTGGTGAAAGGTACATTTGGGGAGGAAATGTAAATTATCCATCATTTTGGAAGATTATCAATATTGTAAAAATGAAAAATCTACTTAAAATAACCCCTATTTACGAAAAAAAAATCAGAAATTTGTTTGGTTATAGAATAACTCTATTTTAATTAAATATTATGGACTATTTCGATTTCCTTATATAGTCCTGGGACTATGCTGTCATTGGATCACAAATGTTATATGATCAAGAGACTAATATATTAGTGTATATCCGAAAGTTTACTTAATGGCTCCTTTTCTTTCCTCACCATTTTTGGTGACGTAGGGTTAATTACATGTTAAAGTAACTTAGCTTGACACATACAACTTTATAGTCCTCATGCACATGTCATCTTAAGAGTGATGAAGTCTGCTCCTTTATTCCTTCTATCTAATCCCTTCATCTCTCTTTAAGAAGTTTTTCCTTCTTACTTTCCCTCTATTAGAATATAAGATTATTTGTTACCCAACATTATACTTTCTAATGTTGAGAGTATAATCACACATAAGACATTTTACATTCAAGAAGAGAAGAGTATAAAAGAGAGGAGAGAAAATATTTTGGGCTTTGTTGATGCCTCAGAAGGGAAGAGAGAAAAGACTTTGGGCTCTGATGCTTCTTGCTCTGTCCAGGAGAAGAGAGGAATGGCCTATTTATAGGCCTGGTCTAAAGTGCTGGCAGGTAAGTGGACTCCAGATGGTCGGCTGTGATGAAGGATCATTGTCGGTGGTGAGTGGATTCCAGATGGTCGGTTGAGATGCTATGTCGGTGGCTTTTTGGATAAGGGAATCTTCTTTTGGATGAGTAGATGGCTGCTTCTGGACAGGTGGATGGATGAGGAAGGAATCTGCTTTTAGACGATTTGATGGTTGCTTTTAGGTGGCTGAGGGAATCTTGTCACTGTAGTTGAAATGCTGTCACTGTAGCTGAAATGTCTTTTTGGTGTTTGGAAATCCACGTGGTAGATAGGATGGAATCTTTTATGTCGGCAACTTTTCAGGTGGCATTCCTTGTCCTCTGATTGTTTTTGTGAACACTCATGAGCTGACTGGTCCTCTGATTCATCTGCTTCTTTGTCTTCTTCATTATGGATCTGTGCCGTCTCTGCTTCCTCAGTGAAAATTTGTAGCAGCTGCTTTTCAAGTTCTGCTTTGGTTGCTTGAGGGTTTTGTTTTTTCATGAGAGATATATATTCTGCAAGGCTATTTGGGTTGACATATGAATATGATTTATATGTTAAAGGAATTTGTTTTATTTGAATATTATCAGGCTCAAGATTATGGTAGACAAAGACATCCCACCATTTTATTGAAATCCTTTTCCCAATACATAGAATATATTCATAATTTTGAGTATTATTCTGAGATATTGCATATGTCCATTTGAGGATTCATGGGATTTGTATAGAGAAATAAAATAGAGACGGTAATCTACATTGGGATCTTTCCCATTGTATTCTATGAATTTGGCTTGTGATATTTGCAAAGGTTCAGGCATTATTTGGGATCCTGATCCCCATACAGCAAACTAGTTACGAAACCAGTTTGGGAATGGGGCAGTTACTGGCATTTTAAATTGAATGAACCAGGTGTGAGAATTATAATGGTTTTGGATAGTCAGGATTTTATGCCATGCATCAATATATTCTGAGTATCGATAGTATTTATTTGGGAATTCTGGGGATATCAATTTCTTTGATCTGGAAGGGTCAGATCCCCATTCACTGAACTGTAACACTTTTCTTATTTGTAATTTTGAATATGAAACTATTTTGGAATTTTTCTGATAATAATGGGCCACAGTAATTGAACCAGTTTCAAGTAATACCATTCTCGGGTTTTTATCCCATTAGAGGGACTAGGGTTATTGCAAGGATAATATTTCGCAACAGTATTTGGGTCATCATGAATATGAATATCTTTTATTATGGAATCAACAATGAAAACAATTTCTTCATACTGGGATCTACTAGTAGAAGTGGTTTTCTTTGGTATTGGAGATTGTAAAAATACTGGAGTCTGATGAAAAGATGGTTGCTGGGTAGAGAATTGTGGATAATTTATTACTGGACTATTTGGGATACTGGGAGAGTATGGTGTAGGTGATTGAGGAGTATTTGCTGGTACAATATCAAGAGATAGATCCATTGGTTCTTTTCCTTTTGAATTATTCGTATTTATGGCTCTATTATTATTAAATAATATTAATGCTAAAGATGGTTCTTCTGGGTCAGATTGATCGGTTCTGCCCCCCCTGCAAAAATTCTCGAGTTAAAAATCAAGAAGATGATTATGAGAACTATGTAAATGTTCAATGGTAAAATCAAAAGATGAGAGAATAGCTTGCCAACGAGCAAATATTTGTTTAAAGACTAAATTTTGCACATCTTTAAGAAGAATATCTTTAGCAGCCTTGCAATCTGTACGAATAAGAAATGTAGTATTGAGAACATCACTCTGAAACTTTGTAACACAATGAACTATAGCTAGAATTTCCTTTTTTACAGTAGAATAATTTTGTTGAGTAGGGTTCTATGCTTTAGAAGTATAACGAATTAACTGTTCTTGTGAATTTATTTTTGGTTTTAAAATACCACCTAATCCTAATTCAGATGCATCACATTCTATTATTTTAAATGCATTAGGATCTGGGAGTGAAAGGCATGGTAATTCTTTGGCTTTTAGTTTAATTCTTTTTACTGCTTGAGTATGTATATTTGTCCATTTCGGTGGGTTTTTCTTTAATCTATCATATAGTGGTTTTGCATCTATAGCTAAGTTTTTATAGAAATCTATTATATAATTGAGACATCCTAAGAATCTTTGTAATTCTTTTTTATCTAATATGATGTCTTGAAATTTATCAGCAAATTGTATAGATCTATCTATTGGTATGATCGTTCCTTGGTGTATATTATGACCTAAAAATCTTATTTTAGTTTGGAATAAAGTCATCTTTTTTGCAGAAACTACTAATCCTGCATGCTTAAGAGCATTTATAAAAACATTTATATGTTTGATATGTTGTATATTTTCAGAAAAGATTAATACATCGTCAATGTACACTATCATAGAAATAAGGATTAAACACATAATTCATTATTCTTTGAAATTCTGATGGAGCGTTTTTTAGTTTTTTAATCCAAAAGGCATAACATTCCATTCGTATTGTCCAAATGGTACATTAAATGCTGTTTTATATCTATCTTCTTCTTTGATCTGGATTTGCCATTATCCAAATTTAAGATCAAATTTAGAAAAAATACAAGCATTTATTAATCTATCTAATAAATCTTTTTTGTTTGGTATAGGATATCTTATCCATTGAAGTGTTTTATTTAAAAGTTTATAATTTATTACTAATCGTGGAACTCCTCTTTCTTTTTCTGCATTTTTATTTACATAGAATGCAGCACAAGTCCAAGGAGAGGCACTTTTTCTTATTAAACCTTTTTCTATTAGTTCATTTATTTTTTTTTTACAAAAATTTAATAAGGTTGTATTCATTTATATGGGTCTAGCTTTTGTAGATGTTTTGGATTCAACGAAATTGGGTTCATATGGCAAACTAACCATATGTTTCTTTCTTTCCCAAAAGCATTGGGTAATTTACTGCATATTTCATTTTCTATTTGTTTTGTGATATTTTTAATTTTTTCTATGATTTCAGTAGATTGTAATTGTTCTTCTATTATTTCATATTTGATTTCTTCTTTTAAGCAGAGAAAATTTTCTTTTTGTTTTATATTGTCTTTTACTCTATCGATTTCTTTTAATTTTGGTTTATCTATAAATTCAAACTTTGTTGTATTACCTTCTATATTTGTTTCTATTCCTGTACTGTTTATAGTTATATTGGGTATAGTAAAGTAAGAAATGGTACACCAACTATAACTGCTTGGCTTAATCCTTTTACCATTATAAATGAAGTTTCAAAGCAATGTTCATTATTGCAAACAACAGCAGTAGATAATTTATATTTTATAAATAATCTACTTCCATCAGCAGTGTTTAATATTTGAGCTGTGTTATCAAAATATTTTGTAGGTATTAAGCTTTCATTAATACAGTTTAGATCTGCTCAGGAATCTATTAAAGCTATTGATTGAAAATTATATTCTTCTTTTATTATTATTTTTACTAACACAAACCATTTTTGTGTAATAATTTTATTTATAAGGTTTACAGATTTAGTATCTATTTCATTGTCTATTCTAATTGCTGAGGACTTAGGTTCTTCTCTTTTCATAGATCTATTATGATTATCTATTAATTGGGTAAATTCTATTTCATCAGTATCTGTTATATTTTCTAAAACTTCACTTTGTAATTCTAATATTTTAATTCTTTTTTTTAATTGTTGAATTTCTAGCTTAATTTCATTTACCTCCTTTTTTAATTCTGCAATAGTTGGTTCTTTTTGAATTGTATCTTTTTTATTAATTCTTTTCATTATTTCAGCAAAATTATATTCATCAGGGGGTTTTATTAGAGGAGTTGGCTTATTTTTAACTTTAGTGATATTAATAAATTGAGTTATAATATCTCTTTTTTCATCTGGGTCTGTAATTTTCTCTATTAAGTCTAATATTAAATTATCTTCCTTAGATAACATATTACACAAGAACGTTATTGCGTCTCTTTATCAGATTCTTCTAATGATGTACTAGTCCATATAAGATTTTCATCTTCAATATTACCAACTAATGAAGTAGAACTAGAGCTTTTTGTAGAACTTTCTGTAGTGTTGTCATTGTCATATATTTGTATGATATCATATAATTTATTTCTAATATTTTCATCTAAGATTATTGACTCTATTTTCTTTTTGACCTTACAATTACGTTTATAATGGGCAACTTTTCTACATTTATAACATACAGGTAGTTTTTTCTTTCCTTTTTTATATTTAT